GGGCTGGAAGAACTGTGTGGCTCAAGCACAGAGCATGCTCACTACCATAGGCAAAGTCCTGGGTTTCCTCCCCAGCACAATGAACCACAAGCAGGGAGTGAAGTGTCTGCAGTAAGTTAACGTTCAGTTTTTGGTAGGCACTCTAGTAAAGCCCTTCCAAATTCTTAGCAGGAATTCCTCCCCCTTTCATTTTCCCCCTTACATATTATCTTCCACATCACACTGAATTTTGATTCAATTCCCAACACTACATTCACAATACAAGTGGAAAAACTCTTAGAATTCAAGTCACTGCAATATAAAGTAACTGAATGAACGGCAAAGCACGGGGGGGTGGGGGGATGTTTCACTGGAACACTGAGGGGATAATATGGTTTTGAGCTGTTGTTTTATGGACCGGCACTGCTGCACTCATTGCTAAGTTCATTCTTATAAATGCTAGAAATGGAAAATAAATTCAAGAACTAGGAGCTGAGAGGAGATGCTATACAGACTGTCCTTTCTCTTCTGTTTGTTTTAAAGAGGGTGTCAGAGACCTGAGTGTTTCTCAACCTTTAAACGGGGTCATGGCACTGGGTCTCATCGGCAACAGAGGCTCTCCCAAGTGACAGAAGAAGACTTTTCCACGCCTGTGCTTTTCTTTTGGCTATGAATGGGGGAGGGGTAGACAGAAAAAAGCCTGTGATACTTATGAGACATATATGTCTACCTACCACAAGTTTAAAAAAAAAAACACCCAAAAAACCTAGTATAAGACAGGAAGCTCACATTTACAGGCTTGTAATGTATATAAAACAAATCTATATAACGGTGACTAGCAAGCCTCTGTATACATGCCAGAATGTGCTGGAACGATATGCTTATTGAATTTTTCCATGGAGAATGAGTCGCCTAATGTCTTGGTAGACAGGGTTCTTGCTAAATATCATGGGGAAGGAAAGGCTTTCCACCTAAGACACCCCTCACCACGTCCTTTTCTTAGGTCATTGTCTATCAATAACAGAAGCTTCCAACAAGATGACAAATGGGCGAAGGGGAGAGGCAGAGAGAAGACAGACAACAGGAACTGAGAAGCAGGAGCCTTCCTCCACTGGCCCGGCACAAAAAGACTTTCCCCATGACTGTTACTGTCACCCTTCTACACATGGAGAAGTCAGCACCTATGGAGGGCACACAACCTAGGAAGGAACTTGGCATCTCACATTATGGAGACAAAACAACGTATTTAACTTCCTCAATTTTTGTTTATTTTGATTTAGCCCACTGCCTTTGGGGCCTGTCCAGAGCCACTCCCATTTCCTTTACAGGCAAGCATCATACCAACTGTGGAGTGACTGGACCACATGCACACACACACTCACCCCCTGTTTAGGATGTCTGGTGTATGTACGAAGGCACTAAAGCGGTTTTAGAGAATGCAGGCAACAACCCCACCCATTCACTTTACCTGTGGAGCTGGATTTTCTTTCCCACTGGGAAGTTTAAAGTTTGAAAGGAGCTGTGGCCAAGGCCTCTGGCCCCAGGAGGGAATACAAAAGCAGAATTCAACACCACCAAAATCAAAAGGAAAACACTCTGCCTCCCAGGATGGGGATAGTAAGCAGTAAATCTTCAAAACAGCATTTAACACAAGCAAACAGTAGCTGGGAGCTAAAAAAAAAAAAAAAAGTAAAACCACTTGTTTCTTGTTAGACTCTTCTGTTTTCTCCTCCTGTAACAGGTGGAGGCGACACACACACTCTTCATGAACAGAACAGTCCATAGGTCATTTTCCTTTAGTACTGCTTATATTTAAAATTTTTTTTAAAAATTATTAACCTATTTTTCCTAACTCTTTACAGAGATTCTCAGCAATCCAACAACTGCACTGCCACAGTTTAGAGCCAATCTTTCTTGCTTAAGCTATTGTTTCTTTCTTTATTCCTTTCTTTTGTTGATAGGGCTGGATAGCCAGGGAGAAGAAGGGCTGTACTGGAGAACAGAAACATGACGGGGAGATGCCAGTCCAGCCTCAGACAGAAGGAACAGTGTGGTGGCAGGCAGTCCTACGAGCTCAATAGACACTCCCCTGGTAAGTCATGCACAATCTCAAGCAAGGCGGTGACAACGCTCAGAACAGCTGAGCCTTCTCCCACAGTTGTTAAGATAATGAATTTACCTGTTGCTGCTAAATTGGTAATTTTTAAAAAATATTTCTATGTATTTTAAAATGTGTGATCCCCTGTATGATAATAACATTTGGAGACTTTCCTTTTTTACATTTTTGTAAGTAAAAATCGTTTAAACTTTTTGAAGTTTCAGGAACTTGTAAAAGTTTACTAACAGGAAAGAAACAGCTGTCTATCTAGGATAAGATACAATTAAATAAACCATCTTCAAAAAACTGGCTTCCTACCCTAGAATTCCTGAGAATGCTTGCAAATTTTAAAGCAGGAAAATAATGTTAAAAATAAAAAAAAACAAAAACACTGTTAAATGCTCCCAGAGTTAGTCTTCATCTAAAATATATATTTATATGTATGTGTGTGTGTGTATGTATATATATATATATATATATATATATATATGCACTTTTTGGTCTTTTTTTTAAGTTTTTAGTTTTTTTTCCCTTTAAGCTTATGATGGAAGAACATTTTAGCTTCTCATGTTTATTTTTACATATTTCAAATCCCTCATTTATGTCTTGTAAACAAGAGGGGCTCTAGCACCCGGCTTTCACCGTAGTATCGTAAGGAACTCAACTAAGCCATAGTGCAGGTCAAGGACCCAACAGGCAGAAGAGGAACAGGGGAAGAGGAGAGGGTAGGTAGGGCCATGAACCAAGAGCGGCAGTGGACAGTCCCCACAGGCTCCCAGGAGTCTGGGGATGCTAAGACTCAGCCTTCAGTCTGCAGATGTCTGAGTGTAAGCTGCGCTTCACTTGGACGTCATCACCTGTGACAGAGCTCTGCTCCAACACTGGGAGTCAGTGGGGCTGGAAGGAGACATTTTGTAGGGCAGAGGTGAGAAGGGATGGTGGTGATGGAAACCGGAGAGCAGGAGGAAGGCAGAGTCCATGAGAACAAGGTGTTGCAGGAACAAACCAGAACTGCAAACTCATTTGCCCACCCACCTGCCAAGGGCGCCCAGATTGGCAAGCACAAGCAAGTGCTCATGGGAATGGTGCCCGTCAGCCTCCTCTGAAGCTAGGTTTATATCCAACAAGGTAAGACAAGATGACTACAGAATTTCCCACTCACTGTCTTACAAAGCCACTTACATGCAATTTTGGGTTTTTTGTTTGTTTGCTTTTTCCTATCCATACCCCTCTACCCACCTACACAAAAGACACAAGCTGAAAGTTAAATACATTAGGCATTGCTGTATCCTTCAATGAAGATGCTAAAGAAAGAAAAACTCCCTTGTCCTCAATAGCAGCAAGTCACAGAGGACAGCAGAGGTCTGCTCCCATCAGGGGTTGGAATGGGCAGGTAATTGCTGGTACAGAATGTCGGCACTTCATGTTGAACAGACAGTACGATGCAGACTGGGATATTCACACAAGTGCTAGCATGTTACCCGCACACATCTTCCCCACCCACCCACCCGCCATCTACTTCGTATGTAAGAATCCCGGTCAGGTTTACTTTCATTCTCTTCACAATAATAAATTTGATATATTTTGATTCCAACATAGTACATACGTATTGGTGATAACTGTGGATTAACATTGCCTCCTGTTCGGCCCAGAGAACTACTACATTGATGCTTTAAAAAAAAAGTCTTAAATACCAAAATAAAAAACCCAACATTACAAGGAAAGAAAAAAAGAGGTCAAAACCAAAACAAGGTGCAATACTTAAGTCTTTGCTAAGTTATTTCTGCCTAAGCAAAACCACATACACAGGAAACAACACAGAGAAACAAAGGGAGACACTTGAAGTACACACTGGTTTAAGAACATTCGTTAAGTAAACGTTTCTGTCAGTGATGGCCTGGTGCTGTAACGAGCGCCACGGCCTGGCACAGGTAACGCTCAGCGAGAGAGAATCAGAAAGGGAGGAGCTACGATGCTTCCAGGAGGCTGCTTACAACTTACTGCTGTTTTCCTCACACGATAATGAGAACTGATAGAAACAATTTAATTTGTATTACCTGAATCCTTTAAAAAAATTCTCACACCTGATGACACAGCAAAGTGGGAACAGTTTTTCTGCTTTTAAAACATCACATGATTTTAAAATTATTGAATCACCTGTTCCCATTCAAAGCAGCAGAACGGCCTGCTCGAGACTTAGACCCCGAGTGCTCAGCAGCTCAGAAGCCGCTTATTTCACAGCACAGAGGTGAGCAGCAGCTTCTAAGAGGCACCTCCTGTTGCGCCGCTGGGCTTGGCAGTGCTCTGCTCTGCAGCTAAGTCAACAGGAAGCTGGGGACCCTCATGTTCTGGCTGCTGCTCTCATCACTGAAAAGCACCCTTCATCTCAATGCAGCCGGAAGAAGTGGCTTGAGTTGCAGCGGCTCCCTGTGCTCCTGTGTTCTCATAGTCAAAAATAATAAAAAAAGCGGATGGCCGGCCAGCCAGCCTGCGAACTGTCAGCAATGCAGCTTTCTGAGAAATCAGGGTGGGGCGGGACGAGGAGGGCAGGACGCAGGCACACACAAAGAGACAGAGAGGAGGATGCACGCAAATGCACATGAACACACGTGCACACACATACCAGAACGAGCATGCCTGGGCAGTTACATGTGCCAGAACACACTGGTATTTATCAACCAGCCAATCACAAAATTTTTCCTTTTTTTTTTTTTAAAGTTTTTTTGTTTTTGTTTTTAAAGTGAGGCTCCGTCAAGTCTTCCCTCCCCCCTCCCCCAACAATTCTTTTGAATTTCCCTCCCACCCAAACATGGTAGACCTAAGGACGGAAACACACCCAGTGCAAACAAAGTTAAAAAGCTATTTTTTCAGTATATATGTTTCTTAGCAACAACTTCCATATAACATGAAAAAAGTGAAAAACTAGAAACTAATTTTTTTAATTTTTTTTGTGTTTAAATTTAAATGGTATGTGTACTTGCTTCACATTGTCTTTCTAGGTTGGCGTTCATGATTCAAGTATTTCAAGAGTGATATGTTCTCTTTTTGGATTCATATTCCAAACGAAAAAACTGAAGTTTTAAGGGAGGCAACTATGTGCTCAGACAGTCTGTCAATGACCCACCTTTTTTCTCTCTCCGTTTTCTTTTTTCCTTTTAAAAATGTATTTATTGCAAGTTGAAAAAAAAAACGAAAAGGTCAAGTTAGTGCTGCTGCTGTTCCAAAAAAGGTCACGAGGTCAGAGTTGAAAGTTCTAAGTTCAGATTGAATCCGACCCTCCTCCCAGAAGGTCACCAGGTAGTAAAGGAGCAGGGCTGCCCATCCTATGGGGATCTTCCACCGTTGGGACTCCCCACAAGCTAGAAGAATAGTTTGTGGGGCCCCACAAGGAAGTGCCGGCAAGATCTGCCCCACTGCTGCCACCAGTGCTGCTGCTCCACTGCCCGAGCCCGGTGGACCCACCGAAAAGGTTCAGCGCAGGTCCAACGGGGTCTGCTTGATTCTGGCTGGTCTCCAGTGACTGCCACCCTGTGGCAGGTGCACTCGGAGTTGCTGCAGGTGTAGGGGGCTGAGCTTGAGCCAGAAAGCGGCTGACTTCATCCTCAGTGGCAAACTCGGCCAGGATGGTAGTGTTTCCCAACACACACCTGGAGAAAGGAGGAAGAGAGCCATGTGATCTGAGGGCTCACCAGCACACGAGGGGTCACTGCTGTTAGTCCTCTGTTACTGTGTTGTCTGCATGCTTGATCACGGGTGTACGCTATCATGCATTGGCTTATGCAGTACTGGGAAATGAACCTAGGGATTTATGCATGCTAAAAAGAACAACTGAGCTACATCTCCAGCCTACCTGTGTGTGTCTCTGTGTGAGTCTCTCTGTGTTTGTGTATATATGAGAGAGAGACAGAGGACATTTAGGGCAATGGTATGACTGAACAATACAGCAATAGTATGATGGTGGATACATCAGCATTATTTGTTCATACCCACCACCAACAGTGACCCAGAAAGTAGACTGAACCCCAGTGTAAACTGTGGACTCCGGTGAATCAGGTGCTAATGAATGTTCATAGACTGTAACACTCTAGTGAGCGACACAGTGGGGCGAGGTCTCGTTGAGAGAGCGGTCAGGAATAGTACGGAAAGTTGCTGTCCCATCCTCTCAATTCTGCTGCGATTCTAAACTATTTTTTTAAAAATTTGAAGTTTTACAAAAGCACAAAGAAAATGTCAGCTTTCTTTCTTTCTTCACTTCCCTCCTCCTTTTCCTTTCTTAGCTCCACATGAGGCAAAGAATCCTATACATAACCGCAAGCAAGCCAGTGCCAACACCTAGACCCCATTCCGTCTGAGCACGGATTTGCTGTGGGGGCCTGCTAGCACTTGTCTGTGCTCTCTCTGTGGATTTTTGTCATGGCATCTGTGGCCAAAGGGAGTTAACACTTTTCTGTCCACCAGTTTGACAGTGGGTGGGAAAGAAGATGGTCAGAATCTGATCCACTCTGTCCACTTCATGCAAAAACTCTGCTACCCACAACTATATTAATTTCCTCTTTGGGCTGGGTGTAGTGGTGCACACCTTTACTCTCAGCATTAGGAAGCAGGGGCAGGTGGATCTCTTTGAGTTCAGAGCCAGCCTGATCTCTACAGTGAGGTCTAGGACAGCCAGGGCTATGTAGAGAGACCCTGTCTCAAGCCAACCAAGCAACCAAACATTTCTTATTTACATCTGAACCAGTAAATGGCTAGATTCTAACATAAAAAAAAGCATTTAGAATGTTTTTCATAACAAAGTTAAGTAGAAAAGACCAATACCTAAGTATGTGCAAATATATATTTGATTGAGATGAGATTCTTTGAGCATGTTTATGTCACTGTTTAATTAAGCAGGACCAGAACACTCCTTTGTGTATCACATGCACCTGTCTAGATGCTGGATGCAGTACTTACATGTGCAGTGCAGTCTGGGCCTTGGCTGCCTCCTGTTTGGTGCTGTATCGGATCAGGGCAGTGCCCTGGGTTAGATTCAGATGGAATGTCAGCAGTGGGCCATGCTGCATGCAGATCGTTCTCAAGGTTGACCCATCGATCTAAGAGGTAAGAACACATGTGAGCTAAGTGTAGATGAGGCATGGGAAGGGTAAATTCTAACACATTTAAAGAATGAGACTGAGACCCATTATTCTTGTTTTATAAATAAAATGTTTCTGTATAAAAATAGCTAAAAATAAAAACCTAAAATCCAATATATGGTCTGTTTTTTTTTAGTAGAGAGATGAACAAGTATGTGCTTATTTATAGAGCTCAAAGGGGCAGAAAATTAGAATTAAAGTTACCATGCAAAGCTGTCAACATCATTACAAACCTTTTATTTTTTCTGCCTCCCAATAAATACTCTCCCAGAGACAGACTAGACAAGACGAGCACCCTGAACACCTGGCAGTTAAAATTGGCTTAGTCCAAAAACTACTCATTCCAACACTGTCACATCCTCTGACAATATAGATATAAAGGGAGGACTACTTCCATCTCCTTTTCACTAGACCCATTTGACCAAGGGCTGTAGGGGATTATGGATAATTTTCCCAATCTAAGAGTATATGAACAAACCTATTTACTCTGGGTGAATTTTCCAACAAGATCATAAATATTTATTTAAGCCTCCATCCCAATACTTCAGTTCACCTCATTGAAAAAGCTATGCTACGATTGGGAATGACTCAGAAGGCTGTGCAATGTCTCATAGCCAGTGGTGGGGCAAGTGCCTAAGAGGCTTCCATTCTCAGCACCAGTGGGAAGCCTGAAGAGTAGAAGCCAGTAGTTCCTGTTAGCTCTTCACAGAAAGCCAAAGAAAATGCTGCTGGCACGTTGATAAGGGACATCACCTGCATGAATATATCATTATATGGAACAAATGACTTTTCAGGAGACAGACGTCCTTCAAACACATTTTTGGTGATGGAAAATCCACTGCCCCGTGTATTACTTTGCTCTACCAACAACTTAAACTCAGAGTGACACTACCCTACTTACAAGGCAGCTCTAACATTTCTTTCTAAATATTCATTTATCTTGTGTATATAAGTGCTCTATCTGCATGTACACCTGCATGCCAAAAGAGGGCATCAGATCACACTAAATATGCTTGTGAGCCACCATGTGGTTGCTGGGGATTGAACTCAGGACCTCTGGAAGAGCAGACAGTGCTCTTAACTGCTAACCCATCATCTCTCCAGCCCCAACTGCTCTAATAGCTAAAGAAATCAATTATTTTGATACAAACACAGCCAAGATCACATTAATTTTATTATACATGTAATGTATGCATACTACTTTTGAGTGAATAGAAGTGAATGGTTAGTTAGCATGCCCAGGCACTTTTTAAAACTGGGTACCTCTTATTGGCTCTCATTTTATCCACATTATAAGCACTACATAGTGTGAGAACTTTAAAAAAAAGGCATATATAGTTTTGAACAAAATTATGTCTGATTTTTCATATTGGGGCTGTAGTCAGACACACACAGAGTATTTGCTTACTGTGTGTGAGGCCCCAGGTTTGCTCCTAGCATTAGTATCACTCCCGCCCCCACACGATTCTTTACAGTTTAGTCAACTATTAGCTAAGGACATAAACTGCAACTTTTATTTTGACAGACTATGTAACCCTGTCTACGGTGCCTAGAAATAGGAGGCTTGTGATTTACCTGCCACAAACAGGTTCACTGGGCAGATAAGTTTATAGCAAACTGTATCTGCCCACAGAGAGTCCTAGCAGATACTAGTACATTACAGATCTGAGAACCTCACAATGCCACTTTATCAACTAAGCGATTTCAAGTCCCTGTCAGGAACATCTTTTTCTATGTGGTTAAAACACATCATCTTATTTGGTTCCAGATTCAAATGGGCATATCTATACAACACACTGCCTCATCAGCAGGTCATATGACTTCATCTCACCGCTTTATAGAATTTTCTCATCCTTATCACTGTGGGTGTGAGGCCTAGTGGCCATGAAATAAATGAGCTTTCTTTATAGTCCAGAAGAGAACATCAGATCTCCTAATTAGACGTCTGAAGTGGGTGCTGGGAACTAAACTTGAGTGCTCTGCATAAGCGGCAAGCTTCCTTAACTGGTGAACCATCTCTCTAGTCCTACAAATGAGCTTTCATAGCTGAGCAGTGGTGGCGAATGCCTTCAATCCCAGCATTTGAGAGGCAGGCAGCTCTCTGAGTTTGAGGCTAGCCGGGTCTACAGAGTGAGTTCTAGGACAGCTAGGGCTACACAGAGAAACCACTGGGGTAGGTAGGGCCAAAACAAATGAAGGAAAAAAAAAAACCAACAAGAAAAGAGCTTTCATGTTTGCCAACATCCTCCATTCTGTCTCCCTCCCTTTTATTTTAGACAAGAGTCCCATGTACCCTAAGAACTTGCTAACAGGCTGGCCTTGAACTCAAAGACATCTACCTGTCTTTGCCTTTCAAGTGCTGGAGACTAAAGGTGTATACCAATATGCACAGCTCTCTCTGTCTTTAAATAAAATCAAATCCTATCTAGAAAACCACAAGAAAGCAAGGTTACCTGTGGAGTGAGATTGTGAAGAACCAGCCAGTAACTAGGACGAACAGATCCACCATCACTCCAGGTAGAGGCTGCAGACAACAGGAGAAGGATGAGGGAGAGAGAAAACAAAACAAACACATACCCAAACCACCAAGACTCTCAGGGAACCATACAGGGGGACATTTTCATGCAGACCATTTGCCTCTTTAAAAAAAACAAAAAACAAAAAACAAAAACAAAAAAAACTAATCCTGACCTTCATGGTCTTTTCTAGTCCCCGACCCCAGTGAATTCATTTGCATATTTGTGGGACAATATTCCCTCCCAGTGCCTTCCTTTGTAATTGCTCATTTTTACTTTGTGTGCCCTAGAGGGGTTCTGACCCTTTCATCTGTACTTACTGCAATTTTTCAGTCAAAAGATTTTCCTCTACCAGACAACCACACAATCCTCCATGTTGCGCCCTCTCCATGTCCTCCTCATGGTGCTAAACAGCCATTCCTGCACAGTAGATCATCCTTACCCGAGGCAATCCGGGAATCCTGTGTCCCCCACCCCCTGACCGATCGGGGTGCTGTGCTGCTCCAAGGAGATGCCGGTTTGGGGTTGGTCAGGCCAGGAGGTGGGCGGGGCAGCGGTGTAGTGTTCCTGGAGGAGATGTGGTTCTTCCACATCTTGTTGGAGAGATGAGTGGGGTTGTGTCCTATGGGATCTGGGGACCATGTGGATTTGTAATCAGGGAACTTTGCTGTAAGAAGAGAAAAGTTGGGAAGCAGTTAGGGTTAGATGGGCATTTGTCCACTAATAGACACAAATTTTGTCTGTATTGAAACACATGTATATTTATATTTTATAAAGTCACAGTGCTAAGCCTGAGGTAACCCTGGGCTCCATGTACTTTGTATCAATTTTTTTTTTAAGTAGCAGGAAGTATACATTTTAAGAGCAGCAGTATGAAAATATTGTTCTCTGAGCATGTTGAATATAAAAATTTAAAATGACACTAAACTGATATATTATTGTGTGAACTGAAGATTCAGTAAGATAACTAATTTCCTACTTCTTTTTTGGGTAAATCACAACTTGAAAGAGAAGACAAATTTATGGAGAAAGTATTCCAAAAGAGGTCAAGCTAAAAGACAGGGTTAGAATGTTAACACCAGCAGAACTAGAGTACTCTATAAATGCTCACTGAGTACACGCATGCACACACGCACGCACACACACTAAACCACTAGAAAACTATTCATTACTTGTGCCTTGATCGTTTAGACACCAATATCGATTTTAAATATAATCAATAAGGCTGGAGCAATGGCTTAGTGGTTTGGTTTGCTCTTGCAAAGGATCTGGGTTCAATTTCCATCACCTACACAGTAGCTCACAACCAATGCAACTACAGGGGGTCCCATGACCTCTTTTGACATCTATGGGCACTAGGCACATATGTAGTACACATACATGGAAATAGTATCTGTCTGTCTGTCTGTCTGTCTGTCTGTCTGTCTGTCTATCTATCTATCTACTCAACTTAGAAAACCATCAAATGATCACTACTACTTACTAAGCTTAAATCACTGGACAGCACTATAGGTAATTATCTTGTGGAGCCTCTGGTTCAGATAGGAGACAACTGGTAACCTTGGCAACAGCACACATGCACATCAAGGGATAGGCTCAGGAAAGCAGGAAAAAGGAAATCCAGCCTCAGTCTATGCTCCTTGTGAGAGTACATCCCTTTAGAATTTTCATGGAGGCGGAGAGAAAAAAGCCATAGGTGTACTGTGGCTGAGCAAGCTGCAGTAGAGTCTCCATGAGACTCAGCACAAAAAAAAACACCAAAAACCAAACAAACCAAAAAAAAAAAAAAGAAAAGAAAAAAAAGGAGAAAAGAAAAAAGATAAATAGCCTAGTGGAGGTGGCCACACCTTTAATCCCAACACAAGCAGATGGATCTTTGAGTTAGAGGCCAGCCTGGTCTACAGAGTTCTAAGACAGCCAGAGCTACACAGAGAAACCCTGTCTCAAAAACCAAACCAAACCTAGGGTGAGAATGGACCAAGAGGAGTGGAGATGAAAAATAGGATTGTCAAATATATTCTCTGAGACACAGGGCCTGGGGTCCAGGGAGTAAGGGAGAGAGGAAACGTGGAGAAAAACACTGATGGTTTGTATATGCTTGGCCCAGGGAGTGACAAACACTAAGGGTCAGAGATAGGGAGAAAAGGCAGTTCTCAGGATCCCAAAGTTCAGTCCTAGGGAAGTCTCAAGTCAATGTCCAACTGCAGGATGAAAATTCCTGGAATCTGGGCTTTTATAGGAATGAGGGAACAGAGAGTGCCAGAGAAGGCAGCAAAGGACTGTGTGGGAAGGCTGCTGTGAGGCTGAGGCAGAAGACTCCTTCAGCCTAAGGAAGATCTCTCACTGACTTTGCAGCTAGTTGTAGCACGAGAGGCGCAAGCAGGAACAGTGAAGCTAAGGGTCCACCTAGCTACATACACAGTGAATATAAGGCTAGCCTGAGCTACGTGAGACCCCGTATCAAAAGAAAGACAACAAAAAATATTCTTTAATAAGATATATAAAGGAAGAGTTAGACAAAAGAGTAGTCTTTGCTTTGTTATTGTATCATAGTGTATATTTACAGTGTGCATGAGGTGTGGGCATGCACTCCAGGCTGTGTGGAGGTCAGAGGACAACTGTTTGGACTTGGTTCTCTCCTTCTGTGGGGTCTGAAGCTCAAGTTCAGGCCACCAGGCTTGTGCAGTAGCTGCTATTCCTGTCAGCCTCAAAGTAAGTTTTACAAGGAAATGGCACAATCAAGTACTCTCAAGTATGACAGAGGAAGGCGTGGAACAGACCCTCCAAGGGCTTCCTCTATAACGTAGGCTCAGTTCTGAGGCAAGGAGTTAACAGTATTTTTGTTTGGTCTTTGACAGAAGCTCTCTCTAATCCAGGCCAGCCTCCAGGAATTCATTCACAATCACTATGTCTCAAATCCAGCTTTTTGTTTTTAAAGATTTATTTACTTGTTTTATGTATATGATTATACTTTAGCTGTCTTCAGACACACCAGAAGAGGGCGTCAGATCCCATTACAGATGGTTGTGAGCCACCATGTGGTTGCTGGGAATTGAACTCAGGACCTCTGGAAGAGCAGTCAGTGCTCTTAACCACTGAGCTGTCTCTCCAGCCCAGTATCCAGATCTTCCAGTTTCAGTTTATCTACTAAATGAGGGTAACCCATTTACACAGTAGGAGTTTATCTTAAGGTTTACTACGATGTCTGGTCTGTAGAAGCACTTAGTAGGTGTGCATTATTGTTGCACTACTGATGTGAAAACAGCTAGAAAAAGGAACTGTAGATCACTAGCTCACTAGGATTGTCTGGGAGCTAAGGATTTGTTTTATGTAATCTCAGCACTGAGGAGGCAGAGGCAGAAAGATCTCTCTAAGGCCAGTGTGGTTCTCACAGTGAGTTCGAGGCCAGCCGGAGTTACATAGGAAGATCCTGACAAAACAAAACAAAACAAAACAAAACAAAACAAAACAAAACAAAACAAAACAAAACAAAAAACCACACAGAGCCGGGCAGTGGTGGCACACGCCTTTAATCCCAGCACTTGGGAGGCAGAGGCAGGTGGATTTCTGAGTTCGAGCCCAGCCTGGTCTACAGAGTGAGTTCCAGGACAGCCAGGGCTACACAGAGAAACCCTGTCTCGAAAAAACAAAAATCAAAAACCAAAACAAAAAAACAAACAAACAAAAATAAAAAACAAAACAAAACAAAACAAAAAAAACACCCACCAAAGCAAAAAAAACAAAACCACACAGAAGTCTTATCCTGCATGGAAATTGTGTCCATGCTTGTGCTTAGTTTTGTGGGGGTGTACTTTCGGAGGCCAGCAGTCAACATCAGGTATCTTCCTCAGTTGCTTTCCACATTGTTTATACTCCAATGAATGATTATACCACAACACAAATTAGATTTGGCGGTTTTTGTTTTGTTTTGATTTTTTTTGGGTGGGGGTAGTGGTGCAAGGGAGAGAGGGTGGACCTGGGAGGAATAGGAATCAAGGGTGATCAGGGTGCATTTTATGAAATTTCCAAATAATTAACAAAAATATTATGTTGGGGGGGTTGAGGGAGAGGTGCCTCTCCCTTGACTTGTAGCTCCGGTTGGCTGGAGTGACTGGCTAGCTAGCAAGGCCCAGGGATCCTCTCGTCTCTGCCTCTCCAGCACTGGCACTACACTTGTATGCCACTATAGCTGAGGTTTTTTTTCTTTTGAGATGGTATTTCACTATGTGTGGCTATCTTGGAACTTGTTATGTAGACCAGACTAGATCAGGCTAGACCCAAACTCATGGAGCTACACCTATCTCCATCTCCTGAGTGCTAGGATTAAGGTGTGGCCAGGCTGTGCCTGATTTTTTTAGGTGGGCATGGGGACTGAACTTGGGCCTCCATGTCTGCACAGCATTTTATCCACTGAACCATCTCTCTAGCTCCTATTCACTCTTCTTTTCCTTCTTAAGTCTCAATAAGCAAATAAATGCAAAGACCAATCGACCAGCCAACCACAGGGACTCACCAAGGACTACTGGCAAATTAACCAAGGTCCTCCTTCTTACCCTTGCCGTTTACTGTCATTGTGTCTTTAGGTCAGATTTTTGGGGAAAAGTAAGCTACCACTGGTTGTCTCAATGTTAATATGGGTTGAAGTGGCTCTTCATATAGCCCTTGATTTCTTGGCAGGCTAGTTAGCAGAAACATTTGGTCATCAGGTCATGAGCTCTGCCCTCTGAACTTTGGTTGAAGTTATATGAGATTCTATTCCCACTGGTCTTGGCCCACAATAGTCCTGTGTTTCCTATCCCATCTCTGAGACTGGGAGCTCCCTGCATGGATGCTGACTGCACAGAAGGGCTGTGCTCCTGTTTGTGCTGACCTAGGTTCTTCCCATGCTCTACAGGCACTCCTTAGGAAGTGAGTGTCAGTATAAAGAGGAACCTCCCACTCAGCTGCTGAGCAAGAGGGGAAACGCCAGCGAGTACCTGAAGTGCTATGAACGTTGGTAAAGGAGTTGTCAGAGGCACTGTAGGGCCAGGCACCAGGTGAAGGCAGCGAGGTGTTGAGGGAAGAATTAGACCCTTGTAACAAATGAAGAAGAAGAAGAAAACATTACAGACAAATGTCAGTATAACCAGGGAAATTTTGTTAGTATTTTTATTTAAACTCAAATAGAAGGAAAACAAAATGTAACCAAACAATATAGATATAAAAAGCAACATGCTTCTGCTTTCTTGTTAAATTATAGAAACAAGGCCACAGGCAACAACTATGAAAACGCTGGGTAGTATTACACGCAGCCTGCAGCACTCACTTACCTGTGGTGTTATCCCGCAGCAGTTGGTGGTCAGTATCTACAATGGGAGATGTGGTTGTACCCCCCAGCACACTTCCTGGGGTGACATAGGGGTCAGATTCAGGGTCAATATTTTGGATACCTTTCCATGGCACTCCTGGTTGGAATTCTGAGACAAGAAGTGATAGGGATAGGAGGGTGTTAAAAACAACTAGCTTAAACATTTCCTATTTTGTTATTATGTTAAAATAACTGTTTAGTAGAAAAAACATGGTCCTGTGAAAAGTTTAAACAATGAAATCTACTATGCATCAGATTTTCATCATGAAATAAAAAGTTTACCCTGAACAACTACTCTTGTCAGTAGCAGGTCTACCAGCATGTTGTCTATCACTCACCTGTCTGGCTGTGCACTGGATCATATGGCTCCATACATGATTCTCCAGCTACTAGAGGAAGCCAGGTTGTGAGGGAAAGTAGGAGCTGCTGCCTAATGAAGTGAGGCCAAAAACTGGGAGAAAATCTGGGTTTGAGACCAGTGACCTTTCCCAATTTTCTTATTATGTATTTACCAAAATCACATAATAAAATGAAATCTAAGTGACCATTATTTCTCAGTCTCTTTGGGGATAGCTGGGAATAATTTAACTATTTGTGGGAAAACCTAGACTATATATGAGGTCTTATCATGTGTTTACTGATCTGTTAAAGCTGTATTTAAAGTTACATGGTAATATTAACAAATTGATAGTCTTCTAATTGTGTTGAGAAGATTGTATTATGTTGTATTATATACATAATTGTATTATATGAACAAGAGATATTATTTCACTTCATTCTAATAAAATGTAGTTATATACATTTATGTCAGAATTATATATGAAGAGAAGGAGACTTTCTGATTTTTATTTTATTAAATTTTCTATAATGAGCAAGGAAGAGAGAAAGAGATGAATCTTACCAGACTCATCGCTGTGTACGCTGGGATAGATAAATGACATATCTGACTAATGAGCGGGTCAACCAATTCAATGCCACTTTAAAAGAGCTAATGTTCCAAGGCATTCTACACACAGGACAATGCCAAGTCCCAGCTGCAAGGTGACCTCCTTTCTCCTTAACTCCTCGTTTCTTGAAGAACTTCTCTTTTCTTATGGCACACATTTCAGCATTCGCGCCTTACCTTTAACTACTAAACAATAGTAGACAATAACTACTAAATGCAGAAAAGAAAGCATGGGGCTTCCTCAGTAGTGAGCTGCACAAGAAGTGTGTTTAGATAGAACCTGAACGAAAGAGAACAACTATTCTAGGAAAAGCATTTTATGAACAATACCTGGAGGCCAACTGGCATTGCTGGATTTACTTCCGATTTTATTAGTCGGTGGAGATTTGGCAGGTAACCAGCTATCACCAGCAGGACCCGTATGGCCACCCAGTGTGTCACCTGGGATTATATCAAACTGGTTGTATGGTGAACCTCCTCGGGTCTTACCAGGGGCCACTATAGCGCCTAAGAAAAGAAAGAAATAACTGACTAAGAGAGAGCTCCAGAGGCTGGAGAGATGGCTCAGAAGTTAAGACCACTGGCTCTTCTTCAGAGAGTCCCGGTTTGATTCTCAGCACCTACATGGTAGCTCACAACTGTCTGTACTCTAGTTCCAGGGAGTCTGATGCCCTCTTATGACCTGTGTGGGGAATAGACATGCACATGTGCACAGACATACAAGGAGACCAAAATTAACACCCCCACACACATGAATAAAGAACTTAGGGCAACCATTAATAGAAGCACAACCGTAATGACTCAGCTCACCTCTCTGAGCTTCCCCATTCTCACCTAAGCTCACAGAGTGTTCTCATTTTAGAAAAGCACTTCCAGTCTGAAATCCTACGGTCTTATAAAGTCAGTGAAACATATACAAAAGTGTGAAGCACAGTATCTATGTGGTTTCTATGCTAATCACTCAAAACTGAGGAAGAGGAAAAACTGAACAAATTTAGCACCTTGGACAGTTTAAGTGATCTTTCTATTGATACTTCTTACCCCAGCATTCTTAAAGGCTGGTTGAGCTTGGGTTATCTGGAATTGGCAATGTGCAGAGTCCACTGGAGAAAAAGCCATCTGCAATTGCTTTAAATTCCAAGGCAATGAGGTGGAATTCCTGCCCAAGGTCTTTGCCAGCAGGCCAGCAATGAACTCTGCATTTCTGAGCTCAGGGCCTCACACACAGAGAACAGAAAATCCTTTGTCACTGTGTTCCCAGTAGTACTCCTGTGGCTTTGTCAGTACCTCCTTCAAGCATTTTCATGCAGGAAAAGTTGAAAGCTTAACATTCATTAAGTAAAAAATGATAGCTATAATTTTTTACTTTAAGTGAAAATTCAGGAGCCTATGGGAGACTATTTTCCTTATTTCCAAAATAAAGTTCACATAGTCTGTTACTTATTTGGCATAGTCTTAGGGTGGTCAATCATGAGCACATAGAATGATCTGCAGGACAATAAATTAAAATGCTTCTATAACTACTGAGTAAGCAGTCTGTTTGGTTTAGACTAAGGGGATACTGTTAGTGTCTCCATCCTCTGCTTACAGGACACTCACTTCTGAGGACAGTGTGGCTCACACCGAGGCACAGCACAGTGAGGTAGTGCAGAATGAAATGCTCAATTGTCTTGGGGACTGCTAAGGAAATGGGGAAAACATGACCTGTATTCTCTGAAGAAGAGAGGATACTGTACCTCTGAGGTATCTTTCAGTATGCCATTTTGTATTTATTATACAGATCTGGCAAATCACTAGCCGGAGGGAGCTATAAAAGTGCCCAAGGCTACAGATGACAAAGGACTAAGGTTACTCGGTCCATAAAACAGCCTTTATAATGTCAGTAAAATTATTCTTGATTTTGATCATGTTTAGTGGGGCAGGCAGAGAGCTCTGGGAGGCTTCTTCCCCAGTCTCTGCATGGGGTTATTAAAGAGGTTTTATAAAGGGTTTATTAAAGAGGGTTTATAATGGAAACCTGAAAGGCTGTAGACTGAATGAGCTGGCTGGGTTAAGCCTGCTGGGGCACTGCAGCAGGAACACCAGACACTTATCTATACTGATTGTCATGAAGACAACTCTGACTCCAAGTGAAATACTGACAAATGAAATAAACATTGCATTGAAGGGTGAAAGAAGGTCTAGACTTCATATTTGTTTTCTAGGGAAATAGAAAAGCTCTTAAAGGGAATTATGGACAGGCAAGGCTAATCCACACTCATAACATGACTCAGATGCTGTCTGGAGGGACACTAATTCACAAAGAACAGAGGCTCTGGAGAAAGTTCAAACCTTATGAATTCTAGTCTACTAGCCATCTTTTGAAGCTTAGGGAGACTTTACTTTCTTCTTTTTCTGAGACTGGGTTTCACTATGTCTCCCAATATAACCTTGAACTATGTATAGCTTATGCTGGTTTTCAACTTACAAGCACAACAATACCCAGGGCAGGGCAGGAGCTTTTAAAAATCTGATACTGATCTCTGAGCTCCCAAAAAGCACAAAGCTGGAAATTTGTGATTAGCACAGACCACAAATTCATACAGACCCTGTCTCAGAAAACCAAACCAAATGAACCAACCAACCAACCAACCAACCAACCAACCAACCAGCCAGCCAGCCAGCCAGCCAACCAATCAACCAACCAAAACCTCAGCAAGAGGATTCTGTTCCCTTAAGACACTTAAATAGGGCTTTAATCTTATGGGTGCACAAGTTCATAACTGTTCTCAATCCCACGGTAAGTGGGGCATTATGCCATCCTTAATTAGGATCCTTTAAATACCTTGAAATATGAATTGTAAAGACAAACCCTCCTCTAATAGGTGACCATATTAGGGAAAATATGAAGAGACTCATCACCAAAAACTAAAGATTTGTGCTTAAAAAAAAAATTCACAAAAGGGAGGGCTAGAAAGATGGCTCAGTAGTTAAGAGCATTGGCTGCTCTTCTATAGGACATAGAGTTCTCAGCAATCCAACACCCTCTCTTGGCCTCTGAGGGTATTGGATGCATGTGCTGCACAGACATATACATAAAAAAATATGCATACACATAAGAGTTAAAAAAATCATAAAAGAAGGCATGCTGTATACACTGTTAATCCCAGGACATGGGAAATAAAGGCAACAGAACTTTCTGAGTTCAAGGCAACATGGACTACAAGACACTGCAATTATTCTTTTACTTAACTAAATAACTTTTTGGGGGAGACAGGGTCTCTTTATGTTGGTCTGGAATTTCCTTAACTTGAACTCACAGAGTGAGTGCCCCTGCTTCCTGAGGTGGAATAACACACTAATCCTGCCTGAGATACTGCCTTAAAAGTGTGGTGGGACACGCCTTTAATGTCTGCACTGTGGAGGCCAAGGTAGCAGATTTCTGAGAGTTCCAGGCCAGCCTAGAATACAGAGAAAGACCCAGTCTCAAAAAGGAAACACAAACACACATACAAAAGCCAACAAAACATGCAAGATACTCAAGGCCCGAGTAGGGACCCAACGATTCTGCTACTGACACGAAGCTGCTCTCTCACCGCTTTTGTGCATGGTGGCTTCTTGTGTGGCCACAGACGGCAGTCCTTCCATCATGGAGGTCCATTGCTTGAAGCGAGACTCAGTCCCAGCCTCCTTGCCACCAACCATACCATAGTCCATGCCGCCAGAGCTGAAGCCTGCAAAGACATCACAAATGTGTACATGTTTCTTACGTCAGAAACTAAATACCCCAGGAAGAACCCAAGAATGCCTTTTGACATGGTCTCTATACAGAAACAGCCACTTGATTCAAAACTCTAATTTTGGGTCCTTCTGTATTAAAAACTTTGTTGTCTTTTTTTATGGTATGAAAATGGGTCATCTAATTAGGTACATCTTAGTGCTTACCTATACCCACATTTTTCTGAACAAACATTTGTGTCAGACAGTTGGGGAGATTCAACTACTCTACGACCACATCTGATACCAACATGGAAGAGTAAATTGCTAAGGATTCCAGTGGGAGGAAAGGCTACACAACGGAACCTCACTGTCTAGGGTTTAGGAACCAGTACAAGGTCTGACTCATAACATTCAGCTGCGCCTAAAGAATGGCAAGAAGCCCACTGATGATACTCCAATGTTCCCTGTCTGGAGAGGGAGGGAGGGAGGGAGGGAGGGAGGGAGGGAGGGAGGGAGGGAGGGAGAGAGAGAGAGAGAGAGAGAGAGAGAGAGAGAGAGAGAGAGAGAGAGAGAGAGACAGACAGACAGACAGAGACAGAGAGATTGATTTTCAATTCACAGTGCTGTGAGCCCCAAGAAGGCCCCAAGAGTCAGATTCTCCCACTACAGAGCACCAGAGAACTAAAAGCCACATACAACCCGAGAGACCTTCCAGCAGTCTCACAGGGCCAGTCACCTGTTCTCCACTGGGTTATAATGCAGTTTTCAAATGAACTCTCAAAATTGGTAAGTTGCAGATTAAAGCTAACCAACAAAATGGGTCTACACAACCACAAGAGTCTGGAGAGGGGGCTTCCACCCATCACAGGCTGTGGGTGAGTAGGGCCAAACACTAGTCCCCACTCCACCTCAGTCAACAGGCTTTGGGGCTCCAGTCAGGCCAGAACCCAGCTGTTGCCACTTGCTCTCCTAGTGTAAAATGCTGCCTTAGACTGGATCTCCCTCAAGCTCTACTGATCCAAGTCCTACTGAGACCACATCATGGTCACCTTCCCGAGGGTTTATCCTACTGTCTGGCTTAGTTTTACTCATGCACAGACTGGGGGCGGGGGGGGGGGGGAATCTGATATCTTCTTTCCCTTCATCTAAAATGTTACTTATTTCTATGAAGAATCCTGTTTTTCCTCACATTTATAATTAAAATTACTAGCCCAACTGCTTGGTTGGAGGGTAAGGGTGGTAAGTAGAATTGAGCTTTAAATTTTTGTTTTTTATTTTTATCTGCATTTATCTGTGTGGGGTATAAGTGCCTGCACAGGCCAGAAAAGTGTACGGGAACTGAAACTGAAGTGCTGGTGGTTGTGGGTGCTAGGACCCTGCCTCAGGTGCTCTGTAAGAGCAGCCCACACTGTGAGCCGCCTCTCCAGCCTGAAGATTAGAAAACAATCAGCCAAACTCATCCTCAACAGTGGAAAATGAGACTGGAGAACAGGGCATTGGGAGGCAGAGGGCTGTCTGGGAGTCCTTGTGGTTCCTTGCACATGACACTTCTGCCTCTGAAAGGAAAGTAGCTAAGGTGAGCACCTGTGGGCTTCTGAAATCATGGCTTTTGGCAAAGATGACAAAAGACACAAGGACCGGTAAGGAGAGAAGGAGGCTGTCCTCACACAATCATTTTCTTTGAAGTTCTAAAATGTCTCTCAAACTCACCAAATTAATATTATTTGACTTAAGCTGTTGAGTTTTTCTGTGACTCATCAAGTGTAGAAAATGAAGAGTTATAAATCATAAATCTTAGAGAAGGGAAGAACTGAGCAGACTGCACGAACCTTAAAGAGAACATTTGTTTCACTAGAGATATGAGGACAAAGCGCCAGCACAATGACATCAGAGTTAAGAACAGGAGATACACACCCTGGGAAGGCCTACTTTCTAACCCAAGACTGTAAGAGGAAAGCTTAGTGAAAACAGGCATGTTGGGGGCTGCATGGAGTCCACAGCACAGTGCTTGTTCAGCGTGCTAAGGCATGAAGACACTGGTAAAGACTCCTCTTGCTGTCATGTAGTAAGTGGTATACCCTAAGGGCTGTACTCGGGGGACCTCACTAGTGACCTCTACCTACTTATGAACTCTCATCAAAACCAAACTTCCTCAGTCCATGGTAGCTTTTCTTCTGATTCTCCAACTCACACACAGTCTTAATCACAGTCAAAGAAGACACTGAGTTCAACTTAATGAATATTTATAAATAGTCTAATTCAAGCCTGTCTCTATATTAGAGACTAAGGTACAATGGAGATAAGACCTGGTCCACTTCTTGCCTGGGGCTCATTTCACTGTAGTATGACATTTACTTGCCATCCTTGCAAATACAAACAACCCTTTACCTACTGTATCTGCTCCTGCCAGAATCATCCCTTCCTGCCTCTTCCCATAGCACTTCACCACTACCACTTGGCCAGGTTCATTTACTCTGGAGGATACTCTCCCAAATTAACTTCTCTTTAAGCTAACTGTGTCTTCACCCCGTTCTCAGCGTCTCCATTCAGTTCACTGTAGACTAGAAGGTAAGAGCATCTGCTCCAAGTGTGAGGCCTTGGGTGAAGCCACTGATACTGAAGATGAGCACACAGAAGAAACCACTATTTCATAATAATGGTAAGAGAAACCGCCATCCACAAGGTGACCCCAACACAACTGTACCACACCTGGTATTTGATACGATTTTCTACTATGGACACAAATTTCTATGCTTTCATTAAAAATTTAAAAATTATACATTTAGTTAGACAGAGAAAGTGTGTGTGTGTCTGTGATATAGAAAGGGAGGGAGGGAGAGACAGGCAAAGAGAAGAGAGAGAGACAGAGAGAGAAGGAGAGAAAGAGAGAGAGAAGGAGAGAGAGAGAGAGAGAGAGAGAGAGAGAACTGACTGCGTCTGTTCTGTCCTGCCACCTTGCAGGTCCCGGGGACCAGCTCAGATCGCCAGGCATGATGGCAGCACTTCTAGTCACTTCGCCATCTTGTTGGCCATACTTTTAGCTTCATAATTTCCATTATACACAGCTCTACTCTTTGATGGGCTTACTATATAAATATTAAAATAGTTTAATATTAACAATACATTAAATAAACATTTAAATAAAATTAGATAAATCTGAAACATAAGGAGGGAATTTTACTTAGAAACCATTTTTTTTTTTTTTTGCAGGGGATAGGGGGTGGTGGTGCTGTTTTGAGACAGGGTCTTGCTGTGTGGACATGGCTGACCAGGCTGGCTTTGAGCATTACTGCTGGGACTACAGGCATAATCCACCCGATCGACTGGAAATGTTTTTCTAGTAGATGAGTGGCTTTGTTTCCCTGGACGTATCAGTCTACTCCTATCTTTAAAAATCCTTTAAGTAAGTAAGTGGGAAGAGGAGTGTTGTCAGAACATCATTCTTCCCTCTATGTATAGGCCCTTCCCTCTGGCCCGTGACACTTAAACACAAACTGTAGATTATCACCCCCAAATTCAAATAAGTATATTTTAAATTTTGCTAAAAGCAGAGAATTAGAAACTATTTATTTTAGAAAAAGCAGTGAGGACTAGTTGAACAGCCATCGTTCATGGGCTCATCACTCTTTATGTGTATGAGTACCTGCACACCTTGGCATGCATGTGCTCAGAGGGTGTGCTGTTGGAGTCGAGCATCTCCTTGTACCATCTGAGTCAGATAGTGGCTACACTCAGAGCATTAGTGGTGGCCAGAGCCTTTCCCTGCTGAGCCATCTTGTCAGCCCTATTTTTTGTTTTGAAAAAAGAATCTCATGTAGCTCCTGATCCTCCTGTTTCTATCTCCTGAGTGCTGGGATGACAAGTGGGTGCCACTATAGCTGGCTTGCCATTTGAGACATTTTGAGAAAACACAATAAAAGAGGCTTATTTAGAAATAATGTGATGGATCATGCTTTTAATCCTGGGATTTGGGAGACAGAGGCTGGCAGATCTCTGTGAGTTCAAAGACTGTCTGGTCTATACAAAATTCTAGGACAGGCTACGTAGTGGGACCCTATTACTTACAAACAACAACCAACAAACCCAGACCAACAAAAACCAGACATACTAAGAAACATCATTCTTGTTACCCTTTCATGCAGAAGTATTCTGCATATAACTGAAAATGCTCAACATCAGAAAAACTGAAGCATATGTGTTATTATTTTGTTTGTTGTCTATGTTGTCCTGGCTGTCCTGGAGCTTGCTAGATAGACCAGGCTGGTATTAGAGGCACGCATTACCGTGCTCAGCAGTTTTTGTGATCATTACCATTATATTTAATATTTTTATAAAAACTCAAGCCCTGTATTATATTTAAAAGGTATTTTCAGTAAAATCCTATGTTGCAGGCTTAGTGCATTACTCAGAACAGGCAGGCATGCAGGCACAGTGGTATCACGCCAACAATTGAGACACTGAGGCAGGATCGAGTTTAAGGCCGGTAAGTTACAGAACAAGTAGTAGGTACAGTAGTAAGGCTCGTCATAAACACATTTATTATTTAAGAAACAGAAATAGATCAGGTGTGGTGCAGACCTTTAATCTCAGCACTTGGGAGGCAGAGATCTCTTGTGATTTTGAGACCAGCCTGATATACATAGTGAGTTTAATGGGACCCTGCCTCTCAAGAACATTAACAGGAATAGAATCCAAATCAAAACATTTCAGTAAATGAAAATATGTTTTTGTCTGGTGAACTCTGATCTTAGTATTTATAAACAATTAGGAATCAGCAAAACAACCACAAATAACATAATTACCTAGTAAGACACTGTGAAAACATTTTTGTGTTTAGGTTTGAAGCCATGGCTCAGCAGGTAGGAACACTGGCTACTCTTGCAGAGGACCTTGGTTCAATTCCCAGCACCTATATGGTAGCTCACAACCATCTGTAGCTCCAATTCTAGGGGTTCCAGTATTTTCTTTTGGTCTCCAGAGGAATTGTGAACATATGGTATAGTGTGCAGATATGTATTCAGGTAAAACTCACAAACACAAAATAATGAAAAAAAATTATGTTTAAATAAGAAAAGGTATATGCTGTTAAAAATGAATAGGATCATCACCAACACATATCACTTCGTAGCAGACAGCAAATATTGAAGATGTTATGATGACCATCACTGGAATAAACCTGCATCCATCCATCCGTCTGTCCGTCTGTCCGTCCGTCCATCCATCCATTTATTTTGGAGACAGGGTCTCATGTATTCAAAGATGACTTCAAATTCCTTATTTTCCTGGATCTATTTTCTGGGCTTTACATGGTGAAATCACAGGCTTGTTTTGTCTACCATGGGTTGCCTGATATTCTAGTTTTCCTTTCCCTTTCCCCTTTCCCTTTCCTTTCCTTTTTGAGACAGGGTCTATCTATGTAGCTCTGACTGACCTGGAAGTTGCCATGTAGACCAGGATACCCTTCATCTGGCTGCAATCTCTCTGTCTCTTTTCTTGGGTGCTGTGATTATAGACATGCCTTGCTTGCTGCCTTTCTTTCTGCCTGCTACTGAAGATGAACCCAGAACCTTGAATAGGCAAATCTTCTACCACAAAGCTACATCCCAGCCATGTGTGATATATTCTTTACTCACACATGTAAAAGTATCAGTGTCACCAAGCTAAACTACCCTGGCCATGGAAATCACTTTTCTTCCCAAGTAGTGATATGCATTTGAAGTGAGTATGGACAAATAGTGAGAACATGCATTGAAACATGAAAAAGCCGCTTTTGACTTTCCCTTATACTTTCTGACAAGGGAAAAGTAGGTGGGAGCACCTTTAATCCTAACACTCAGGAGACAAAGGCAGGCAGATCTCTGGGAGTTTGAGAATAGCCTGGTCTACTAATAACAAAACCCCAAACAAAAGAGACAGGGGAGGCAAAAGGACAAGATGTCCTATTTCGTGTTTGTACGCTGTTTCAAAAGTCTAACCTCAGCCGGGCAGTGGTGGCGCATGCCTTTAATGCCAGCACTTGGGAGGCAGAGGCAGTTGAGTTTCTGAGTTCGAGGCCAGCCTGGTCTACAGAGTGAGTTCCAGGACAGCCAGAGCTACACAGAGAAACCCTGTCTCGAAAAACCAAAATAAAAAAAAGTCTAACCTCTACATCCACAGTAACCAGCTTCTGCCAAGTTCTTAAGGGAGGCTCCCTCTACTGGCCACATTGGCCTTCCATAATCCAGAGAAGATGGTAGTATAGGCAAGCACAGCAAAAGGCCTGTCCTATGTCAGATGGAAGAAAGGTATTTCCCCCAGCACTGGGGACGGAAACCAGGCTTTGTGTATTTGCTCTGCCACTTCTAGCCCAGAGAGGCTATTCTGAGTTTCAGTCAGTTCTCAGGTCATCTGTAAGAAGACAGCCGGTGAAAGCTGAGACTCCCAGGATCCAAGACCCCTTATCTTTACTACTTCCTAGCACGAGCTGGAATTCCGAGTGTCAGGGCAGAAAACAGCCACCTGTTCAATCAAGGACTGGTCCAGGAACAGAAATCTTATGTCTTCTCATTCTTTTTTATACAGATTGGTATCTTCTTTACCAAAATAAATTCTGAAGTCATCAAAGGAACAAACAAACAAACAACCTAGCATCTTGCCATGCAGCTCAGGTTGGCCTTGAATTTGCAATATTCTTGGCTCAGTTTCCAAAGCACTGTGATCACAGGCATATGCCACTAACAAAACTATTCTTTCTACCTATGTACCTACCTGCGTACCTATCTCTTTCATGCTAGGGTGTCTCTGTTTATTTCAAGATAGGGTTTCTCTGTGTAGTTTTGGGTTGTCTTGGAACTCACTCTGAAGACCAGGCTGGTCCTGAATTCACAGACATCTGCCTGCCTCAGGCTCCTGAGTGCTGGTGTGTGCCATCACTGTCCTTCTAGGTTTTTTTTTTTTTTTTTTAATCATTGTTGTCTCACTGACTGAACTTTGCTTACAGCATGTTGCCCACTTCTAAAGAAAAAACTTACTGGGTAAAAAAAAAAATTTCAATGTCAAAATTTTCCTTACATGTACTTCACCTACTTTTAAAAAGATTTGTCCTTAAACTTTTAGTTCACATTGAGAAGGTAGCTTTATTAGTGAAGTAAACCACTTAAATTTTTATATAGTTTCATAGATACAACCTCGGCTATTTACAGCATTCAGAGGAAATTTCAATTGGCTTGTTTGAGTACATGTGTACATGCTATGTATGATTACATGCATGTTCATATGTGTATTACAATGTGGGGGTCAGGGATCAACCTTTGGTATTGTTTCTTAAGAGATACCAACCTTGTTTCTTTTTTTTTTGTTTGTTTTAAGGACAGGGTCTCTCACTGGCTTGCAGCTCACAGATTATACTACACTAGGTGACTAATGAGTGCCAAGAACTGTCTTTACTTCTCTAGGATTACAGGCATGTAATTATCTACTGTAAAAATAGAGGGGATGGGGGAATGAAGAGATGGCTTAGCACTTAATACCCCTGACTATCTTCCAGAGGACTACAGTTTGATTTCCAGCAACCACATGGTGGCTAATAACCATTTGTAACTTCAGTTCTAAGGGATCCAACACTCTTCTAGGGCACTGCACATATATGGTACACAGACATACACACTGGCAAAATATATAAAATAAAAAAGTATTAAAAAAAAATTTTTTTTCCAAGACAGTATTTCTCTGTGTAGCCCTGGCTGACCTGGACCTCACTCTGTAGACCAAGCTTGGCCTCAAACTTACAGAAATTTGCCCACCTCTGCCTCCAAAGTGCTGAAATTAGAGGTGTGCGCCACCACTGCTGGCTTCAGAACCCTTTTTAATAAGAAAATAAATAGCACTAAAAAGAAGTGGGAGCTGGAGAGATAGCTCAGTGGTTAAAAGCACTGACTTCTTTTCCAGAGGTCCTGAGTTCAATTCCCAGAAACTACACAGTAGCTCACAACCATATGGGATCTGAGGCCCTCTTCTGGTGTGTCTGAAGACAGTGACAGTGTACTCACATGCATAAAATAAATATAAAAAAAAAAAAGAAAGAAAGAAAGAAAGAAAGAAAGGAAGGAAGGAAGGAAGGAAGGAAGAAAGGGAGGAAGAAAGAAAGAAAAAGAGAGTAACGCAAAGTCAAACATGACTATAGAATTGGACAAGCAGACTTTATATTAAGTACTTCCCACCACACAGAACATACCAGAACCATATCCAGGGATTGGCCCTTTGGTCGGAAGGTCTGGGAGCCCCACATTCAGCGCGTTGGGTACCATGTTGTCCAAATGTGGCTTAGGACCAACAGGATGAGAAGGTGAATGCTTCATGCTAGGCTGCCTCTGCTGCTGCTGCTGCTGTTGCTGCTGCTGCTGCTGGAGAGCGCTCACCATTCTTGCCAGCTGAGGGTGCAGCATCCATTAAGAAAGGACCCGAGAGAAACGGACAGATGGTAAGCCAGGATCCCAAATTAGCTGTTAAGCCAAAAGGTGTTTCTCACCCAGAGCACTAGGGGCACCTTCTCCACCCACACACCTGCTGTTCTTGCTGCTGGCGCACTGCTTGAGAAATCTTTCTCTGGTTCTGTAGCAACTGCTGCTGTTGCTGCTGCTGCTGCAGGAGAAGCTGACATGCCTACAAAACAATGAGGGAACCACAGCTTCCTAAGACTGACATGGAAAAGACTTGCATGCTACAGGGCAGGGCAGTGTGTCAAAAGCATCCATAACCAAGTTCTTGGTCTACAGTTAAGGTTACCTTCAGGCAAAATGATATATCAACTCTTAATCATAATTAATCATCTGTATAAAAGTTTGAACATCAAGTGACAAAAAGAAGGAAGTTAATGCAAAGGAAAAAAGAAAAGCAAATGACTTTTTCAGCAACAGGAAGACACATGCTACTTACCAACTGAAACTGGGGGATCTGTGGAAGCTGGCTCAGCATGGCAATTTGTTGAGGAGATAACTGGGGGCCCACATTAAAGAGACCTGGATTCAGGCCACTGTTGGGGAACTGCTTGAGCATTGAGGCAGAAACCTAGCCAGAAGACAGAGAGAAAATCCTTAGAACTTACTAACACATCCCCCTCCCCCATGAAAAAGACTTGATGTCTCTAAAGCAAGCACTGCCATTTTCTTAAACCATCCGTAAGAACTACTTCAGAGTGTAATAATGGCTCTAGCTCTGGGCTGTGAGGCCATTAAGAACCTTTTAATTCTAAGAGTTTCTAATTTCCTGCAATAAAAATTATGAAATTTTAAATCAAGAAAAAGATATTTTAAAAAAATGACAAGTTGAGAGATCAGTATTGGAAATATGCCATACAATAAGATATGCTACATACTAGAAAACACTTATTATATAATATGTATGCATATATGTATGTATGGTTTTGTTTGTTTGGAGGGGGAGACAGGGTATTACTATGTAGTCTTGTATGGCCTCAAAGTCACAGAGATCCTCCAGCCTCTGCCTCCTAAGTGCTGGGACTAAAGGCCGGGTAGTTGTGGTGGCACTTTTTTTTTTTTAATGTATTGATTTTATTTACTTTTTATCCTTTGTAGTGGTATCAGTTGGGTCACAGAGAACAACCATAAGCCTCTCCACATAGCACAGGAGTTAAGAGCTTACTTAGTGTTAACGAGGTAATACATGCCTTGTTACAAGTTCTTGGGAAGCAGACATATCTCTTGCGCTCTGGAATTCTGGGCCATTCTGGCAATATATAGAGTTCCTCATTTAAAAATAAATAAAACTGACTTACGTGCTTAGGCATGTGTCTCAATCTCTAACCTGTTTGACTCAGAACAAGTACCTTATTTAACCTTTTAAAATTTTATTTGCCTATCCCTCAAACAGGAATAGAAAGTAACTAACCAACTAAATCAGCCAATACAAAGCCCAATGTATTCTTTGAGACATTTGAGTTAATCAATACCAACACTTAGAAATGCATTTCCTAAGTATTTGTTCTTATGTCATATAAGATATGTCACAGGATAGAAGATCAGAATTCCCTAGTCCCTCATCCTCAGGCTAACACAACTGATTCTGCAACCTCTACCTGCTTCCCACCACAGAACCAAGAACAGAAAGTCATTTTCTAGTTGAGTCTAACACCAAGTGGACATGGCCACCCCTAAGCACTTTGTCAAGGCCTGACTTTCTCTAACAAAGCCTCAGGTCTGTTTGTCTAGTGAGCACATTCTAACTATTTAATGACAAACTTAGTACCAATTAGAACCAGCTGTTTTACATTTGCAGTGAGGAGGAATCAATGACACACAAGCACTCCATCACCGAGACTCAATCCTGCTTTCATCCCCCACAAGGTAATATTGAATCCATGCAAATGGGTCTCTTATATTTATCTGTATGTAGAGGGCACAAAGTAGATACTCTATAAATGCTTATTAAATGAACAAACCATCATCATTATTCCAACTGAAGAGTCATTTACCATGTAATTCTCTAATCTTTTTATCTACTTATTGCCAGCCACTCTGTGCTACCCTGTGGGACCAAAGATGGAAACGCAGAACCAACTAGATAGAGCTGAGAATAATTTAGGAGGATGAGACTAAAACTTCTGCCTACCCTGAAACGAGCCCATTAGCTAAGCCAAACAAATGTCTTTTTTTAAATTGTATTTATTTTTATTTTATTATTTATTTATTGTATTATATTTATTTCATGTGCATTGGTGTTTTGCCTGTATGCATGTTTGCGTGAGGGTGTCAGATGCTCTGGAACTTGAGTCACAGACAGTTGTGAGCTGCCATGTGGGTGCTGGGAATCGAACTCTGCTCTTCTGGAAGAGCAGCCAGCACTCCCAACCACCAAGTCATCTCTCCAGCCCCACAAACAAATGTCTTAACATTTTAACTTTCTTTTCATAAATTCATCCTCTACTTCAAGATTTAATTTGTTTTAAGTCTGTTAGCTTTTTGGTTGTTCTCCCAACCTGCCTTAGTGCTAAGAATGAAACAGGGCCTTAAAGATGCTAGGCTAGCACTCTATCTCTGAGCTCCAAACCTTTTTTTTTTTTTGAGGTAGGGTCTCACTGTATAGCCTTGGATGGTATGAAATGAGCTATGTAGACCAGGTTAGCTCTTCTTACCTCCTTTTTTAAAAATAAAGAAGCATTTTTGGACTGGATTTTGGTTTGGTAGTGTATACTTTTAATTCTAACCCATGGGAGTCTATTTTATGTTATGTGTACACATCTGAACATATGTATGTGCATCATGTGCATGCAGGAGCCCAAGAGTTTCCCATGGAGTGAGAGTACAGGCAACTGTAACTACCATGGCAGTGCCATGCTCCTGTGCAATCTCTCCAGCTCTCCCTACACTGTACTTAAGACAGAAGAAGAAGCGCTCCTTAGTCTCCAGTTGGTTCTACACAACTAGTGTAAGCAAAGAACTAAGTCACACACAAAGATGAACTTGAAAGGCTCTATTATCTGCTTACTTTCCCCGTCTGTGTTAGTCTGTGTTCTAACCAGTATCTCTGTCTCTCTTTAATGCCATCTCCCATTTTATAGCTCAATCTGTTGCTTTCCATGGAATATTCCAATCTTACTTTCTTTAGCACCTTGGTCGAAGTCAAAGTGGCCAGTTCCCTATTAATTTTTGTTTTGTTTGAGACAGAACTTCTCTGAGTAGCCCCAGCTGTCCTGTAACTCACTATGTAGACCAGGCTGGAGAGTTCCCTGGCTCTGCCTGATTGCTAGGATTAAAGGCATGTGCTAAAGACCACACCTGGGAGTTCTGTGTTAATTTCAAGTCACCACCTCTGAACATCCTCGAGAATGCATGACTATCTATCTTCTCTTTGACACTCTCTACTCTAGAACTATCTGATCAAGTTCAAACCTGCTAAATATTTGGCCCATCATCTCATTTTTTCCATGATCTCAGCCACACCCAGTTACCTAACCACTTCTACTGTGAGACTGGTTGCTGTCTCTCTCACCATCTAAGAGATACCGATGATGCTGAGTGTTACCAATCAACTTAAAAACTGGTTTGATCTTTCTTTGAGCTTCTGAATCCACAGGCCAGTATGAGCATACCATGACCATGGGATTTGGCTCCCATACCAGTCTTATGATAGGTATGTGGAATACACCTTCTACAATATTCCTATATAGTTCATATAGACTACATACAGTATATAGTTTCTTCCTTTTTCCCCTTGAGAGAGAATTTCTCTGTGTGACCCTGGCTGTCCTGGAACTTGATCTGTAAACCAGGCTGGCTTAGAACTCAGAGATCCTTTTGCCTCCTGAGTGCTGGGAGTAAAGCACCAGCTTTGTGAATTCTTTCATATATACTATCTAATTTCATTGCCTGAAATCAAAAAAGGTAAAACCAACAACACACTATTTAAAAATGGCTGGATACAGAAAAGCACACCAACACAAGGCATTCTTATATTTACATTGTACCACTGCATGTGCTCCTTAAGTTGACAGTTTTAGACTTTACTAGCTAATACTCAGGAGGTCTTCCTATGTACCCTTGCCTCTTTAGACTGCAGATACAGTGTCTCCACACAAGAATTACAAAAGGGGCCAGGAAGTAACAGCACTATGCTCCTGGCAAATGGCTGTTCAAACCTAGGATACAAAGTAATTAAAGTGCACGTTTGCATATTTCTATTATGCAAAGATAATTATACAGGCTTAAAAGCCCTCAGTCTCCAGCTGGGCTGGAGAAAGTGAAGATCTTGATGCAATCAATATGGCTTTTTAACAAAGCATTGCAGGTGCAAAATGACAGAAATTTCAAGGCATGAAAAAGCCACCAGAATCTTACTTTCTGAATACTCCAGTGACTGGAGGGAAATCAACTGTACAAGCAACGGCTTTAACAATTCTTCATTCCTTTTTTTTTTCCCTGTCTGTGTTGGGAAAAGAACCTAGGGTCTCAAACATGACTTTTCTATCACTGAACAACATTCCCAGCCTTGTAATAAATGTTAAGTTTCAGTGTTTATGCTTTAGAAACAAAATCCTCAAACACTTCATTCTGGACAACTAGGTTTAGAAATAATGTAGGACTACACATGGGTCCTACCACTAAGCAGGCTAAGGCAGGAGGATCATAAATTTAAGGCCAGGCTGCATTCCACAGAAACAAAGAAACTAATATTGATGAAGATTTTTGTATAAGATTTTATCTGCAGATTACTTACAATAGCAGAAATTAGAAACAATTTAATATCCAATAAAAAAGGAAGAGAGTTGGGTGGTGGTGGTGCACGCCTTTGATCCCAGCACTTGGGAGGCAGAAGCAGGCGGATTTCTGAGTTCGAGGCCAGCCTGGTCTACAGAGTGAGTTCCAGAACAGCCAGGGCTACACAGAGAAGAGAAACCCTGTCTCGAAAAACCAAAAAAAAAAAGGAAGAGAGTGTTAAATAAATCAAGGTAAATGTACTAGTGAAACACGTTTCTGATAATGATTAACACTGCCAGGTGTGGTAGTATGTTCCTTTAATCCCAGCACTGGGGAGACAGAAGGAGGAGCATCTCTGTGATTTTAAGGCTAGCATGGGTTACAGTAAGACCCTGTCTCAAAACCAAACCAAACCAAACCCAAAACTCTAAAAACAAACAAACAAAAAAATGAAAAACCAGAAGAATGATCAACATGGGCTTGGGAATAGCTCACTTATGTTATGTACCTAGCACACCCTGGGTTCCATCCCAAGAATCAAGAGAGGGAACTGATGTGAAGACTATTTCGCAACAGGAGAAAACACTAAGACACAATGTTAACAACGGTGGGCACATAGATGAACAGCAAGCTTGCACATGCACAAAGTCAATGGGATGCATGCAACACAATTGTCATCCTTGCTGCTGTGAAGCTTGACTCAAGGGGCAGAGAGGCAGAGAGTCAAGGAGTGGAGGAGGAAGGAAAGACAAGGAAACCTCTGGAGGGTAGGAAGACAAGAGTAGTGGGGAAGCACTGTAAGCTTCAGAGCTTAGCCCGAGAAAGTATCTCTGAAGTAGAAAGCCAAGGAAGTAAATAAAGACCATGCTGAACGGCAGCCCCAGACAACAGTGTTCTAAAGTATGACTGGTGTTTTGGGGTCACTTGGTTGGAGAGACATAAGGTATAAGTCATCTCTTAGACTTTTCTGCCATCCCTGAAAAACTATGCTTAACATTCTATTATGTACGGTAACCACCACACAAACCAACCAACCCAGTGAAGTGGGGGAGGGAGAACAAGATGGGACAGACAGGATGGAGATGGACACATGCAGCTGGGGTTCAGGTCCCAGTACAAAGATCATAGAGATCTGTAATTCAAGTTCAAGAGGATCTGATACCCTCCTCTGGCATCCATGGCCACTGTACGTACACATACACACACGTATACACACACACACTCACACACACAAAACACACACACACAAAAACACACACACGCAAAATATCTGTGTATTTTGTAATATTAAATTAACTTAAATATAGTGTATACATATTAACAGAAAACTACCAATGATTGAGCAGGTCCCAAATCCCAGAAACTGTTTCAACAGAGGAAGGGAGGGAGACCTTTAAAAGTAGCAGCCCAGATAATAGTTACGAACAACTTGACAAAGTGAGCTTACAGGACAAGATCCAAACTCCTGAATAACGCAAACATAGGTTTTGCCACATTCTGTCCATAATTCCTTGTCTATTTTCTTCCCATCCCATTGATAAATACATGCATCTCTACCAACCTGTTCCCACTAGCCATTCATTCAAACCAACTGCCTTTCCTCAGGCCAAGTGCCAGCTATTATTGCACCAGAGCAAGGCTTCTGTGGCTTGGAAGGACTCTTTAATGTGGTCACGCATAGAAAATTTGAACTTATTCTTCAAGACCCAGTTTAAATGTCACTGCTAGTGATGCTTGTAACATTTAATCAGGTGAAACATCACCTTGGTCCTCAAACTTTGGTGACCATCTATGCCATTTATCCCACTACCTGCTGCCTTTGCTTCAGAGTGTCCTGTCATACTGGCCTCTTCAGCAGCTCTAGGGCTCTCTCAGAGTAGGAAACCAGTCAGCATCTTAGCACACAGCTCCTCAGAGATGTACAGAAAAATGCAGAATCTCATAATCCTGTTTATCTTCAGGCAAATACTTGAGGGCTATCTGCTTTTGAATACTGTCTCCTTAGAATTTATGAACTGCTTTTAATTAGTCACACTAAAAAACAATATATTAGACAATTAGTTGTTGCAAAGCATCTACTTTGTATTCTTGATGCAATTTAAAAAGGGAGCTGATATTCTAATAATTTTTCACTTGGCACCTGGATCTGTCAAATGTCCAACTGTAACCAATCCTCTCTTGTGCATCAACTAGGCAGTAACAATGGGCTGCTACCTGAATGGTTTTTTAACTCTGAAAGGTAGGAACATAAAATTTCTTACCTGGGGGGAAATAAACTGGGGAGGCACTTGCGCCCGGAGACCAGGAGAAGAACTCAGTGGCTGCACTGGAGTGTGCAGGCCTCTCGATTGTGCTGTGCTGTTTCCAAACAAACCATGACTGCCGCCCTGCAGAGAGAATAGTACCAGTCAGGATGTCTTATCAATTCAAGAAGATGATTAAGCAGTAGTTCTCATTTCTATCCCTAAGAATGAAGATCTCTACTGCATGGAATGACAGCATTCATTTTAGAATCAAGGAGCTCCTAATGCTGGGCACAGTTACTCAGTCACAGGCAGATCATCTACTACAGATGGTCTGATAGAGCCTATAAACCGAAAGGGTTAAATTTAACAAAATGTTAGAGGTAGTGTTACATTCCTTGTGACTGAAAGGAGCTGGCAGGGCAAGACTTCTAGACTGCTTATTTGAGACAGGGTCAGCTTATTCTGTGGTCAGCTGAGATGAGCCTCGTAAGTGTTGGGATTACAGGCGTGTGCAACCACATCCGGCTTAAGAACCCTCTTTTTATGAGTCTGGGCTTATCAAATTTAATTCTCAGACTTCATGAGATACATCTTAAAAGGAACCTGGGTAAAAACACATTCCATTACCAAACTATCTGTGTAAAGTAACATGGGTATCACTTTCCTCTATTAGTTGGCTTAACCAATCACAGTCACTCACAAGGACTCTGATCTAGCTGAGCATCCTTCCCTGTCCTAAATCTGTTGGCTTTCTTTCCTAAATGAGAAAATGTTCATCAACCTCACACCAAAATAAGAAGAAAAGAATACATTACATATCATTCTAGATTATGGAAATAACATTACTCACCTGCAACTTCACATTAAAAAGTATATATATCAACCTTGATACCTATCTATCTATCTATCTATCTATCTATTAAAGTTAATTCTATGATTCCCAGTCAATCACTGAGCTCATCTCTAATCTTCCAATGAAAGCAGGGGAAGGTCAGCCCTGAGGCCCCCCATCTTTCTGATTTGTTTCTAGCTAAGAAAAGTTCTTCAGTAAATAAAGAACTTGTCACTGTTTCCCCTGACTGAGGATTGTCCCCACTGCCAGTGTCTTACTAAGTATGTCAGTTGGCACTGGAGGCATGGCCCACCCATCACACCTGGCATCCTGAGGTTCTCTATGCTGTGTACTCTTGGCCTATTCAAAGCTTGAATTAAAGAGCCCATTAAAGGTATCTTCCCCCACACCTCCTCCTCATCCATGTACAAAGTGACCGAATTCCTCTCTGTGCTAGCCAAATATCAGAAGGAACTCTGCCGATGTCCATTAAAACCACGATTCAGTCATTCACTATTGTTGTTGTTGTTGTTTTCCTGGTCCCAGTTTAATCCCTCCTTTTGGCATTCTCAGAACTCCATAAAGCCTTGGTCTACAGGATGCACATATCACTGACCCAACAACCATTCATTTGAAAACATCCCACTAAACATCTTCAGCAAGGACAGCAAACAATGCATTTGTAAACTGAGGTTATTATTCCCAGTTTAACACAGGGTAAGGTAATCTTAAAGAATTTACATAGTATCATTAAGTTCTAGAATTCTGAAGATACTGTGATGGCTTTAATGATTCAAAATTAGATTAACAGACTGCTAGAGGCAAATTAATGAACTTAAAAAGCACTAAAACTAAAAATGATTACAAACAGAAAGTAGAAATGGCAATTAAAATATGTATATATCATAAAAAGATTGAAGATCTACCATAGACTTTATCTTCCCAAGGGTTGTTTAAATTATGTCACTGCACCCAGGTCAGAGTCATTTTATTTTATTTTTGGTTTTTCGAGACAGGGTTTCTCTGTGTAACCCTGGTAGTCTTGGAACTTACTCTGTAGACCAGGCTGGCCTCAAACTGAGAGACCCGCCTATGTGAGCTACCACACCTAGCTAGAGTTATTTTAAATTTCAGCCTTTCCTTTGATAAGAAGATTCTCAGCTTCCTGCCAAAATTCAAGGATGTCTGAAGCCACCACATAGCACTGATGTTTCCAAAGTTAATACAAGCAACCCAACAGCAGTCTATACAAATGCTTTACTGCCACTTTAATATGGTACTTTAGTTCATTTTCTGGCTCAGGCTTGCTGAAGGCAACAATATGTGGCCTCCAAAAACATTAGATCTAGGAATTACGGAGACAGTGACTCAAAGACTGTACACATGCCAATATCTGACTATTGTTCAAGCTTTCAGACATATGTGGAATTTCTAAGATGACCTGTGTCTAATGTCCTCATAATTATTAGGGATATATGTCCCAACCCCAGGTTTTAATTTAGAAAAAAAAATATAAATTTAAAATAAAAAGCGAACTGATTGAAATATTCTGTGATTTGGCAAAAATTATTATTATTTCTTATTATTAGAGACAGAATCTCACATTATAGCCAAGCTGGCTTCAAACTCCTGCCTCCTGATCCTTCTGCCTTGGCCACTCAAGTACTGGAATTAAATGTCCTACCATGTCTGGCTTTTCTTTTAATTATGAAGTAAATTTAATGAACTTGGTATGACAGTAGTTTGAAACAGTTAGAACCTAATGGGTAGGACATATTCACCAACTTTATACCAGTGGATTTTGCAGTAACCTACCCATTACAAAGACAATGAAGAATTGCCTTTTTTTAAAGTCGATGTCAAATTGGCAGCTGGTCTATTAAACTTGCATTTATCTACTAATAGCATTAGGTATTTATGCAAGCCTGGAACCACACTCTGTTTTATATTTTCTGTATCTCAACATAAAATAAGCATTTTCAAAACACTGTTTTCTCTGTTCATTAAGCAATACATACCCACCCTATTTAGAAAACTACAAACAAGCAAACAAACAAAATGCTGAAACTAAAGGAAGGAGACAGGAAAACTGCCTTATGATTGGGGAATCCAGAGAAAACTAATCTGAATATGTGATGTGGACACAGCATAATCTACTTTAGTCTGCATACCATAGTCTAAGTGGTCTTGCTTTACCTGAGCCTTTAATGTCCATGTGAAAGTTACCACATGAAACAGAATGAATGCAACTACACATTGTGTAATTCATGTTCTTGGGCTCTTCCTAAGGTGAAAGGCACAATGGCAAGTGAGGAGTCACAGAACCCTAGCTAGGAAAGCACCACTGTTGGAGTCGTTCCTGTAAGGCATTGCTGGCCCCAGATTCCTGGTTTTCTTCATGAAACTACAATAGACCCTGGTGGCCTTGCTGTGTCCCCTCAGGCTTGTAAGAGTGAGTAAGCATCATCACTGATCAGTCCTGCCAGTTCTGATGCTACTGTGTGGCCCTTGCTTGGAGGACCAATTTTGGCAACCACCAATGCTTGAGCAATAGTTAAGTCTTCAAAGCTTCACTACTAAAGATCTCCTTCTCTATGTAAATACTGTGGCTTAATTTCTAAAGAAGACACTCAACTCCTCAGCCCCAAGAAGCTAGATTTTTAAAATACTGTAACCCTTAAACCTTTATTTATTTATTCTTACTAGTTTTACTACTAATTTTTGGTTAGCAGATATACTAAATTAAAGAGACTCCTGAAATACTCCTTTTATATATGCTAATGGCTTTAACAATATTTACTTTTAGTTTACATACATGAACAGTCTGTGTTTCATGTGTATGTCTGGGGACTGCAGCAGCTAGAACAGGGTATCTGCTCCCTTAGAACAGGAGTTATAGGAGGCTGTGAGCTGCTATACGGGTGCTGGAACCCCGGATTCTCTCCAAGAACAGCAGTGCTCTTAATTGCTTGCTGTGTCATCTCTCCAGCCAAATATATAACCCAATATTAAAAATGGCAAATGTATAACTAGATTATATACTATGAGTCTCATTCATATTTTCCTAAGTCAGTTATAACCAAAAAGGAAAAGATAAAAGAAACAGACAAAGTAAAATCCATGTTGAGAAACATGAAGAGAGATGGGTTCTATGGGCTGAAAGATGTAAAAACCTACACTTAATATCATTCTGTGCATTCAGTAATCAACGAGTTTCCCAAGACAGACAAATGATGCAATAAACTGAAGACCAGGGCCAAGGTGAGGCCACAGCCAAGCAATTACAAATCTGAGAGGCCTCCTTACTTGTCTAGCAGCGAAGTTTTGGGGGTTGAGCCCTGTGCCGATTGCTCCAAGGCTGACGTTGGGTAGTGTGGAACCAGAGGGAGACAGCTTGTAGCTGGGAGAAGGGGAGAAGGGAGAGCAGGGAGCCTCATCCCCAAGGCACCCATCTTGATTGGAGAAAGGCAAAGTCAGCTGAAAGGTAGTAGGAGTTACCAATCACAATGAGTGTTGGTTAGTGAAGCAACAGAATGCAAGAAGGGAAAGAGAGACACACTAGGAATAAACAAAGCGAGAGTGGATTAGCAATAACCCCAGAAGAAATTTGGATCTGATAATAATCATCACACGTTGCCCAGCAGACACCATCTGTCAACCTCTTCATTAGAGACTTTCTCTTCCTCTAAGTCAGTAAAACCCAGTCATCCACCGCACCAGGACAAGGGTTGTCAGACACTGTTTATGAGTCTAATACCCATTACTCTGGTGGTACGTCCTGAAGCAGAAGCCAGGCAATCTTCTCATGAATATGGTGTCACCTAGACTGGCAGCAATGCTATTGGCCCAGATGTCCATGTTTTGGTTTTAAATGTCTTGTGGGGCCCAGGAGCACTATTAAACAGTATTCTGAATCAATAGTTTCATTAGAAATGTTAAAAATCAGAACAAGTAAAAATTACTTGCTTCAATCAGGAGTGAGAATTTGAAGAATATGATATCCCTAAACACAAGTCACTAGGGAAGTAGGAAAGATGGAGAGCCTTTCCAGACCCAGCACCAAGCTTGCAGAAGATACAAAGGTTTGCACAAAGTCCAGATTTTGTCTGTAGCTGGTACAGCAGCAGGAACAAGAAGACTGCAGAGTAAACTTATCTCTAAAGTTTCTTCTCCATGTTCTAAGTGCCCACGTTCTCTCCCCAAAACTCAGAGCTCTATCACAAAAACATTAAGGACAGATGGTTCTTGTTCCTCCCAATCACCTGTTGACATCAGCTATTTTCATGTCACAACATTAATGTAGGGGATATTCATGGTTTAACTCGCTGAGTTTGTAAGTTTATGCTTTCTCTAGACTTAGCTATCAGAAGACAAATACGAACACAGTGATTCTCATAAACTTTTATTTTAAACAAAGCATTCAACTCACCTTCTCAAAATAAGGCCCACTATCTGTGGTTCCCAAGTCTTTGGAATTAGGTGGACGGAACCCAGGTCGATCCTTCCTCATGATATCATTAAAATCCCCGAGATTCATTGTTCTCTTGTCCACATCAAATTTCTTATCTGAAAGGACATAAATAAAAACTTCAGGAATCAAAGTCTCCCTCAAGAGCCACCTGTAACCTGGTCCATTTATTCTCTGGGGTACTGGGGACAAATTCTCTCTACTCCTAGGAATGAGACCAGGAAGAGTCTGCACTGGTTCAGGGTGCTTGCTCTTTTCCTGGAGCACATAAGGGACCATTTTTCAAAAATTAAATATGTATCTGCTGCAGCTTGTCTACCACGGAACACTTGAGAGACTTGAGGGAAAACTGATTATGCAAATATTTAGGTTATAACTGACGTGCTAGGTGAATACATCTTGCTCATGAAGTCAAATGTTCTCAGTGAGAGACCTGTCTATTTTGCTATGTTAGCACCTGTTAGATACATTGTTGGAGTTTTAAAACAATTATGGGGAACAGAAGGACCAGAGGCACTCCTATTGCCCAAAATTTAAAGCTTAAGAATGTAACACAGTTGAGCATGTCTACAGTCCCTGCTCAGCTTAGTCTGCATGTATGATACCTGCTCAGTATCTGCATGTGTGATCCTATTCTCTCTATGCATATATGATGACTATTTCCCCTCCCTTTCTTAGCCCTATAAATCTGTTATATGATGACATGATTGGGTTGCAGCTCAAACTACACATTACCACTGCTACCCAGGACTGTTTTCTCTTACTCTTAGTTTGATTCTTTTTATGTTCCTTGAGGTGAACAAAAGTGGTACTGAGGAAAAATCTCACAGGCGAAAGGGCTGATCCTGCATCTGCTCTGGTCACAATGGAAAAGTATGTCAATGATGAAAACCTTGGGGTACAGAGAGTTAATTTGATGGCCTAGTTTACCAGTATCACAGACTTATTAAAATAATCTGAATCTAGCTCCCAGTACTTGGAAAAAAATCTGGATGCTAATAAGGGATGGTCCAGTGAAGTCTGAACTTTCCATGTCATAACCAGCTCAGGTAGAACAAGGTTGACTCCTGAGGTGGACACACCCTCTTCACAGTTAAACAGTTCACCTAGCATTTAACACCCCTTTGCATTCTCCTGGCTCTCCAGTCATTTGAACTTTCAACCTCTAAATAGTGCATGAAATCTTATACAAAATAAAGCTTTTAGTAAATATCTATTGATCTGATAGCCTTAACCCAAGCAGGGCAGGAGATTCCCAAGGGCCTGTCATAGCCATGAATATATCCCATTCCTGTTTGTGGAGTGATACACACCTACAGACAAATCCATTTTGCTGCTTGGGTTATCCTCAGTTTGACTCTGAACAAAACAAAGTAAACACAAGTGAGAAACAATTAAGGATATACATTTTTCAATCAGAGAAGAGATGCTACTGTTTGCCACATCTGACCACAGGCACTCCACAAGACCCTCTGCAGTGAACTTGAAACTGGAGTGAAGGCTGCAACATTTTTGCAATTGCAATTTGATGGCCATCCATGCTTAATTAAATCTCTAACATTCAATTCCACATGTAAGCAACATCAGTACAGCTATGGACAGAGGACTAGCTCAACAGCTGCCTGGAGAAATGAACTCATTCCTAAGTGAGCATGGTCAAACTCCACGAGCGGTAACTAAATGATGGCAACATCTTAGGATGTGCCAGTGAGCAAATCTTGAACTGTGTAGCCAAGCTAAATCATTTGTCTTTTGACAACCATGACCAGGTGTCCTCAGTGTTCCCAAGAGAAAAGGAAATTAAAGATCCAGCATAAATTATTCTCTACATAATCAATTCCAGCATAGTTATTCTGATTATTTTTCTTTATAAAAGTGATGATGCAAACACTAGTAACAAGTATCTATTTAAATGTCTTTTTTGTTCCCGCCTTTCCAAGAGAAAGAATGCAAAGACAATTCACTTTTAATGCTGGTATATATCACTTAATAAAATAGAAATACTGTTTAGCTCAGAGGGCCAAGAACATTGTTTAATCCACATTTAAATCTGTAATTTTGTACTGTACAGGGTAGTGGTCCTTAAATTTGTACTATGCCTGTAATGTGAGATATGTTTATACATGAAGAAAAATGAAACTTACCAGCAATCCCATGTTTGAAAACTGTTTGGCAAGAGGATTCATCCACGAGTCATTGTTTCCTCCTTTTATCGAGCACTACAGAATAAAACATGTGACCTGAGTCACAGAGCTCATCACAACCTCCCAGACTATAAACTACACTGGAATGCAAAGCTGAGAGTTCACCTTTCTGAATCTGATAGCTTTAAATGACTAGTAAGCCCTAAGTCCAGTCATGCTTTTACTCGTTCCTACTTATCACAGTGAACTGGAAAAATGAAGTCTACTTTTTACATGGAAAGTAGTAGTATCAGGTTGTGTAAGATGTCTACATGCTACCACTGCCATCTCCAGTAGGATGCTCTCCTGTGACCCCAGCAGGCTTGTAACAGGGAAAGAATTGCTACTGGTGCATGTTGTTTGGAAAGGAGACTATTTCAACCAGTGGGGACAATGTGGAATGGATCCAGAGAGCTCTTCATATGGTTCTCAGCATGAAGGTCATCAGTTTCCAGTAGGAAAGAGGCTTGGAGAAAGACAGTACCTTTGAGGTCTGGGACAGTGGAAGGCAGGGATTAATGGGATGCGGGGTGGGCTTGTGGACCTGTGCATTCTATAGGTAAAAATTCCACGTGTTATGATATCCCATACTTGTTATTATTGTTGGTATTAGTTGAGACAGGATGCCCTCACTCACTAAAGCCTAGAATACCTTGAACTTTTGATCCTTCTGCCTCTGTCTTTAAAGGTTATAATTACATATATGAGGCACCACAACCAGCTTGTTTATGCGCTCACTCTTTCTCCCTCTCCATAAATAGATATATATTATAATATTATACCATATACAAATATATCTATATAACATTATACATAATATATGTTATATCAGAATATTATATTCAATACTATATATAATTATAAATACATATATTAATTATATAATATAAAAATTAATAATAATATATATTAAAGTGATAGGATACCTATATTTAGTTAAGATTAAAAAAAGAGTCCTCCTGGAAAGCAGGAGAGATAGTGAGTTTATTAGTGCAGAGATTTCAGCTTTAGAAGAAAACAAACTGCGTGTGAACATACTGAATGGCACTGACTTGCATATTTAAAGATTATGTATATTTTGAAGTCCTCAGTACTGAAGGTCAGAACAACTGGCATCAGAATTTAAACATTCGACTCCCAATTAAGTAAATCTTGGTTGCCATCTGAGTCGGGAGGATTCAATTAGGATCTTTTACTCAATCATTTCCAATCCACTGCTAATTTGTAAATGACCAAAAGACTGCCAAAGCAGTCCAGACACATGAGAGTACCAAGACGCTGAGCAGTGAGGTGAGATTTCTTTAGTGACTAGAGTAAGAAAAAGCAAGTCCTTAGGGAAGGGGAAACCCAGGAAGAACTCCTTCAGCCAATGTCTCTAACAGAAAACAACTGTTCTATCCTACAGCAGAAATTAGGGCACTGAAACCCATAGCTTCAGACCCAGGGTGACGGTCAGGTGAGGGTCTTGTGAGACAGTGTCAGGGATCCGAAGCCTGGGAGGATTAGAAAGCATTTCACAGGGCAGAGTTCTTAGGTGGGAATTAAGCATACCGGTGTATTTTCCTTTTTTTTTACTCTGTGTCTGTGGTATGTGTGTGTGTGTCTGAGAGAGAGAGAGAGAGAGAGAGAGAGAGAGAGAGAGAGAGAGAGAGAGAGAGAGA